CCCTCCCTCCCTCTCTCACTCTCTCACTCTCTCTTTAAAAAAAAAAAGAAAGAAATTAGAGTGGAAGCAAAACTGATGATTAAAATCCCTTAGTCACTCAGAAATAATTATTATCCACGTTAGTGTTACTTTACAGACTTTCATAGCCTACATTTTTTTTCCAGGCAGTCTTTATAAAAAGGGCTTCTTGGGTGTATCTAATATATTTCCATATTTCTATTATAGATGATGATCCCTGCTAAACATCACTGCTAAATCTTTTTTTTTTTCCTTAAGATAAATTCTGATGGAATCACTGTAGTAAAGGATAAGGGCATCATAAGGCTCTTCAGTAAATGTCAAATTTGCCCTTCTTGCTATTCAGATTTGCAGAATTGTTTTGGTTATCAGGAAGACTGCAGTATTCCAAATTATGCAGACCCCTAATCTGGCTATTCAATATTTAAAAGATGGCTATACATACATTCCTGGTCTTATATTTGTGGGTAGATACAAAAGTTCTCTGCATTTTAAATAAGATTATAGTAACTGTAGTCATCTTAACAGTGTGCGAAAATGTGAGTTATGAAACACCATTGCCAGCAGTGGGTATTCCATACTCCTTTGCTACTTTGGCAGGGTAAATAAGATATTCACAGCTTCGCTTTTAATTTAGGCATTTAATTGACCATTAGAGAGAAATTTTCCCATTTGTTCTTTTTCTATCAGTGGTCTGTTCATGAACTTGGTCTGTTTTCTGATATCTGTATTTCTCTTCATTGATTTGATAATATGAATATTCACTGTGTATCTAGCATTGTGCTGTCACTGTTATTTAATCAACACTACCTCCTTAAGATAGTGGTATCCCAAGATGAGGACACAGGTTCAGATTAATATCACACAGCAAGTAAGTTTGGAGTAGGAATTCCAGTTCACTGCCCTACATCACTCTTCTTATGATGACATTTTTGCTTACCTCATGTGTGTCCCATACCTTTTCAGATTATTGCACCCCCCCCATTAATTAACCACTGTTATAAATGTTACCACTTTCATTTTTTTTTTAAGTTATTTGAATTTGTGAGTCTTCCACCTGTGGCAGAACTTGACACAATAAATATTTAGTAAACATTAGTTGAGGTGGGTGCATGGATTTTTCTTAAGTATCTTTGTACCTTTCTAAGGAGGAAATAGCTGGAGGTTTTGAAAGTACATATGTATGTGTTTTTGCTTTTTTGTTGTTTTTTAGAAGTGTTAACTATTTTTTACTACAGAATTTAGCATAAAGGTTTGCTCAAATACTTAGACTAGTGACTATGACTCCAGTACTAATATAAGCATATAAACATTTCTAATATTTATTAAGAAAAATGTGTTGTCCTCATTTTCAATCTCTGAATGGATCTCTTAGCACAAATCTTGTTAGACTAAGCCAACTTGAGTCTGTTTTTATACAATGGTCTCTTTTATTTCTCCTGTATTTACTTATTAGACCTACTACCTTCTTTGTACTTTTCTGGTTGGTTGATTTGTTTATTGGTACTGGGGATTGAACCCAGATGCACTTCACACTGAATTAACACATCCCCAGTCCTCCCTTCCTTCCTTCCCCTTCCTTCCCCTTCCTTCCCCTTCCTTTCTTTTTCTTTCTTTCTTTCTTATTTATTTATCTTTATACTGGAGATTGAACCCAGGGATGCTGAGACACATCCCCAGACCTTTTTTTATATTTTATTGGAGACGAGGTCTCGCCGAGTTGCTGAGATTAGCATTCAACTTGGAATCCTCCTGCCTCAGCCTCCCAAGTCACTAGGATTCCAGGCATGCACCACTGTACCAGCAGCTTTATA